CAATCGTTTTGAGCAACGAACTCTGTAAATGATTGCGTTTCTGCTGGATGAGCCATTTTGGTGTGAAAAAATATGCCGAATATGTGTCATGATAATGATGAAATTTATGGTTGAAAATATTCTCCTCCTCCTTGCTGATATAGGAGAATAATTATTTTCTAATTCCATTTACGATTTAAGCAAAGAAATAATTAGCCATGGCGAGAGACTGGAGAGGGTTAAACTGAAACCCTCTTAGGAAGTGATATTTAAATTGAGTCTGATGCGTCAAAAACCTATCGTAAGAGAAAATGGTGGCATAAGCGTTAACAGAATCTGGAAAGTCGTTGCTTTGAGCCTAATAGACTCTTGGAACAGTGCAGGAAACAGTTCGAAAATCATTTTATTTTTGCTAGTAATAACAAAGTTCGCTGCGATAGTTCTCGTGTAGATCTACAGGACATGGTGTAGCTCAGGCGATCATGTTCGGTGACAGTTTCGTCGAGTCACTGAACCTTGATGCTACCAAGACTCCACCTGTAGCTAGGTCTGATGGGCATTGTGACATATTCCAATTTTAAAACAAACGATTTAATTCAATGTGATACTTTTTAAGATATTCGTCCAACTATAGCAGACGATTTTAATATATTGTATTTTAAGATATTATCTGACTTTAAAGCAAAGACGATTTTAATCTAATGTGATACTCTTATTTAAGATATTACCTATTCTACTTTTAAAAGACAATTTAAACTTCAGTTATACCTTTTCTCTGTCATTCTTCTTTTATTAAGATATATTTTTACAACACCACTCATAGTTTTGATTTTAGATAATTTACTGGCAAATCTGATGGGAAGTTTTAGCATTGAGTTTGGTCCAAGATGTAAAGTTAGACATTTTAGTTGAAAAGTGGTGCTTTGTGTAAAATTTAAGTCTTGAATGAGGTTTGAAAAGATGTGTGCAAATAAATGTCATGTCCTGAAAACAAGTCATTTTATTAATAGTCTCTGGTTACAGTACAACATTAACAGCAATCCTAAAAACCACTCGTTAACGTGGTGGGTAAAATAAGGAGAGGAGGGTGCTTAGGCATCATCCTGTCAACATTCAAAACCAAAATTACGAGGTCCGGGTCGCCCATAGCCCGTTACTGCATTTCTCGTTAACAAAACCAAAACCACAAAAAAACAATCGTGTAGATATTCATTTAGTCACAAAAGTAAGAAAATTCCCATGCTCCAGTAAAAAAAAAGTCCAAATTTTAAAATAAATACAAGATATATATACCTTTGAGAATATGCTCTATTGGTTGCAAATTATACTCAAGAAAAAATGGAAATTTATTTTTGCCCTAATTTCTATTTTATAATTCCATACAGAACACATTTCTCACATTAAAAACTTGCATCAATAAAAAAGTATATATGCAATTTGTGCAACATAAAGGTCAAGTCATTTAAGAGTCTAGATATTTTATGATAATGTTGTATGTAACGAATAGTTCTGAAAGTTTTCTGCAATTGTCTATGTTAGACGTTAAATAATTGAGTATAATTTATTAATGGTTCTCGAGAAAGAACTATCACAAGATTCAGAGATTTAATGTAACCAGCAATAAGGAGAGTCTCAAATAGAAACTTCTAAGATCATCGAGAGAAAATCTTTTGCTACAGTGCAAAAAAGCTATTGAAAATTTTGAGGCAATAGAAACAAAGAACTAAACTAGAAACAAGGTCAACCCGTCTGTTATTCAATGGATAGAGAAAGTAGGATATTATCAGAAAATTGCGAAAAAATCTAAATATTAGTGTTTCCAAATTAAAATCTGATCTAGAAAAACTATTTAGGGTAAATCTTGTCTGAAACACTGCCGTGTGCTGCGAAAAGGTGTAGGATACCACACGATAGGAACATGTGCAGAAAACTGCTCAGGCAGTTAATCGCAAAAAGAGACCATTCTTTGCAAAAGAGAATGTAAAACAATTCCAGATTTTGAGTTCTGTAATTTTCAGGTGCGTAACCAACATCTGTGGATCACATGGACACCAAAAAAGTGGAGAAAAGCAAACGGGAGAGCTCTGAACCAAAGAACATGAGAGGAAAGCCAGGTGGTGGTCGAATCTTGTTTTTGGGTTATGTCAGCTGGCTGGTAGATAATTTTGGTAATAAATGATGTAATAAAGAATCCCAGTTGTCTGAACATTCTTAAAGTTATTAATTTTACCAAAAGCGCTGCAAAATTAAGACTCCTGAAATCATCATATCTTCAGCAAGATAATGATCCAAAACAAACAGTTCGAACAAAAGCGCAAGAAATGGCTGCCTCTAAAATAAAACAAAACCTCCCATTCAACTGATATTAAACCCCATTGAACACTTGTGAGAATACTGATAGAGACAAATTAGGAAACAAGAGATAAAGAATAATCCTCAGAAGAGTACTTTGGAGGAGAGTAGAAAACGCCACTGGTGACCCAACATTTAGAGAACTAATGTCAATAAGATTAAAACAGCAGCAGCCACAAGAGCCATCTCACTTAATTACTAGTTTTAGTTTTGTAAAAGAAATTTGTGTACCATTCCCCCACCACCTCTGTTCTTGGCTCTGCATATTTTTACTTTTGTGATGGAATTACATAAGTACACATTAGTTAAATCATTTTTGCAAATTATGGTTGTATTTTTTGTGATTTTCGTGTTAAAATTAAATTTAAGTTAGCGGTTTTTAACAGATTAAATTTTAATGTAAACAAGATTAACATATATCTCTTATTCTTTGAAGAAAGCGACCAACACTAACTGTGCGCTACTAACTTTGTGATCCAGTGTATATATATCTATTGTAATAGTAATTATATTATTGCGGGAAAAATAATCTCGAACTAGAGTAAATATTTTGAAAAGGATTTATTTTATTAGTAAAATAAAATAAATCACACAAATTTTAAAAGTAGATTTAATTTGGCTGTTATATTTGTGGATGATGGGTACTTGAGTTTAATCTAAAATTCTTAAACTTTGTGATAATATACAAAATTACACTTTAAATAAAATAAATTTAGAAAAAGAAAATATATATTTACAATTAATAAATATACAACACTGAAACACTCTAGCTATTTCCAAAAATTCTGAATATAAATTTACATTTCATGACTACAAGGAGACTGGAAACATTCCGGTGCTGAACGGCTCGCACGATACCGGATTATAGAATATGCCATATCAAACGCTGGATTAACGTCTACCGTTGTATCGCAACGTCTCGAATGTGATGATACTATAGATAAAAAAAAGAAACCAAATGTTATCATGCATATGAAAACAACCACCACGCTCATGAAGAAACAAACTTTATCACGCCCATGAAGAAACAAACTTTATCATGTGATAGCTTATGGGGGGGTAGCAGCTCAGTGGTAGAGACTAAGGATCGCAGATCGAGGTCCCTGGTTCAAACCTGGAAGGCCCCTTGTGTGTAATTCTTTTTAAAAAAATTATTTTTTCAAATTAAAATACTTCACTGGATGTCACTAAGGGTACTTTTGGAGAGAAATGCTAAATCTAGAATTTTTTTTAACAAACTAATTTATGAATTCGAGATTTTTACCACAATCTAGTATAATTTTTTTCATACAAGTTTTTTAAAAACATCTCGATACTCTTTATGATGGTCCTTCCAAGAGACTTACTTGATAGCTTTGAATCTGACTGATTTTTCCAACCCGGTAGGTGGTTTTTACTGTTAGACGTGTTACATCAAATCTTTTTATTTATCTGTAGCATCCTTTCTAACAATAATATTCCATTTATTCCAACAATCGCTGCCTCGATAACACATAAAAAATAATCGTTCCCTGAGACTACACTAGCTTTATGTTTCGAAAATGATCGATTGCTTATTAACGTCCGCCCCTAATTTAGAAGCAACAAACACGGAGGGTCACAATGAGGGGGGGAGAGGGATTCGTACTCGAGTCTCTCGATCAAATAGCGAAGACACTACACAGCTTGCATACCACTCTTCAAACTTCCCCTGTCACGACAACAGAGAAAGCACTTGAGCCAGCTACATATTTAAGGTGTAAATTAGGTCATGCTACGGTAGACCTTCAGTTGTTTTAAGTCTCGAACTTCGTCGAGCAGAAAATTACCACAAAGAAACCGGAATATTATTTGTAATGTAAAACCAACATTATCACCATTTCGGGTAGTATAGCTCAAGTGGTAGAGCATCTCGACTGCAGATCGAGAACCTCGTTCAAACCTGTAGCCTGGGTAATTTTTAAAAAATTATTTTTCAAATTAAATACACTGGATGTCACTAAGAGTACTTTTAGAGAGAAATGCCAAATCTAGAATTTTTTTTAATAAACTAATGTATGAATTCGAGACTTATACGACAACCTAGGTTAATTTTTGCATACAAGTTTTTTCAAAACATCTCGATGGTCTTTATGGTGGTCCTTTCGGGAGAATGGCTTAATAGCTTTGAGAGTCCTGACTGATTCTTTCCTGAGACTGAGCTCACTCCACCATTCAGCAGGTACCAGCCCACTAAGTAGTTTTTGCTTGTTGATGCGTTACATCAAATCTTCTGATTTATCTGTAGCATCCTTTCTAATAATAATATTCCATTAATTACAACAATCAGCTGCCTTAATAACACATAAAAAATAATCGTTCTGAGATTTACACTAGCTTTATGTTTCCTTCAGTGATTGATTTGAAAAACGTCCGTCCCAATTTAGAAGCAAATATGAGGGTTATTGGACGACTTCGTAATTTCGGATCTCAACAAATAATGAAGACACGACATCTGAGCTTGCCTACTCTCCAAACCGGCGACAATGAAAGCACCTAGACTCATTGTTTCAGGTGTACCAGTCGTGCCACACGGTAGGTCTTTAGTCGCATCAAGACTCGAACTTTCGTCGAGACGGAAAAAAGCACCGATAAAGAACACCAAATATTATTAATTATTTCAAAAACCCAACATTATCGTCTGATATTTCGGGGGTATAGCTCAGTGGTAGAGCATCTGATCAGATCGAGAGGCTCTCGCTCAACCCGGGTGCCCCCTTCCGTAATATTTTTGAAACGTTAGGTGTCACTAAATACCAAATCTGGGATTTTTTTTCATTAATGTAAAATTTATGAATTGATAATTATGCCAATAATATTGATAATTTGCTATTACAAGTTTTTTTAACACATTTTGTTATTGCGTAAGACGCGGTGATATTCATAAAAAATATTTATAATTCACTTCGAATCATTATGGGTTGCATTACGAGCATGATCCTGGCTGTCAGGCCAATTGACGCTTGTAAATTTAAAAAATAACGGATTTAGCATTTAATAACATCTAGCGTAAGTGCTTTAACTTAAAAAAATAATTTAAAAAGATAAAACCTGGGCGGGCACCTGGCTCTTGAAACAGGGACAGATCTGC